TAATGTCTTATCAAGTTTTCAGGAGGTTCTTAAATGCTTACTCATAGAAATCTTCCATTTCTTGGTATATGTGGCATTTTAAAGATATATTTTGAGGACAGGTACATCTGCCCATCCTCTGTGGATGGCATTGTGTAGAGGAGAAGAGAAACTACTCGGAGGATCATGGCTTTCTTCTCCCCCAGGAGCCCCTCTGAGAATGGAGAGTGGTTCTGGGCACAGCTCAGAGTGGAGCCTGGGCAGAGATGGCCTGAGGCAGATAGCAGGTGACTTTTCAAGCCTTGGCTTTTCTGGCTGAACACACATTCTTCCTCCTGCCCTTGTAAAAAGGCAAGTTTTCTTTTTCTTAGGGTAGTAAAAATCTTTTGTGTGAAGAAAAAGTGTCGTCAAGTGTCTTATTCATCAGCATATATACCATCTCTTTAAAATGACAGTGGGAGTAAAAGTTCATCAGTTCAATATGTCTTTCACATTTGGAGACTCCTGACTAATAACCTCTGGTATTTATCATCAGAACAGCCAAAGAACTAAATTCTGGCACATGCTTCTCTCACGCACTGAGAGAAACTTAAAAAGACAGAAGATTTTCTCCATTTTTTTCTTCTATTCACTTAGAAGGAAAAGCATACCTTTTTTAATTAAAAAAAAATATGAGCATGCAGAAACATCTGGCCTGTATTACCACAGCAGCTTCCTAAATGGCTTCCTTGTCTCCAGTCTGCCCTTTTAAAATCAACACTATATGCAATAGCTAGAAAGATTTCTAGATCACAGATTTGCACCAGCCACTCTCCCATGTCACTGGCATATTCTTCCATCACTCTTTCATGGTTCTTGGGGTCAAGTCCTGTGTAGCCATAGCTGCTGTCTCTCTTGCTTGCATCCTGCCCTAGCCACACTGAGCTGCTTGTGGCTCCCTGCTTCATGCTATAATGTAGGAGTATCTTCAGGCCCATGTACAAATCAGTTCTTTCTCCACAAGCTCCCTGCTAGGCTCTGCTGAACCTGGATCCCAGCATGGGCTCCCACAACCCCTATCCAGCACTTATACAGACTATAAACATCCGTCTTGTTTGTATTTTATTTTATTTTAAAGGCAGAGTCTTGCTCTATTGCCCAGGCTGGAGTGCAGTGGTATGATCATAGCTCACTCCTGGGCTCAAGCAGTCTTCCCACCTCAGCTTTCCGAGTAGCTAGGACTATATGTGCGTGCCACCACACCCAGCTAATTTAGCCTTGTTTTTACTTGGCCAGCATAATTCTTAAATAATTTTTTTTTTTAAAAACTTGAATCCCATTGGTCAAGGCATATCACCGTTTAGTTTGCTTAAGGCCCCACCACTCTGTGTTATGCACTAAACCCTAATTACATATTTATTCTTTGCTGGGTCTTGTAAAGCTATCTGTTTTCTTATCTCCTTTATACAATAGAATATAAACTGTTTGAGGATAAGGATTGTATATTGTTAACTTTTGTATCTATAGGCTTGACAAATACTACTCAATAAATATTTATTATATGAATTTATGCCTTGTGAAAAAACAAAACTTAGGCCAGAAAATAATCTAACTCTTTTTGTCCTTTCTACTTATTCATGAACATCACAAGACTAATGGAACTCAGTGGACCTGGCAAAAACTAACAATATTTCCATCAGGTGATCGAAAGTCTGTGTTCATGATTTGATACTGCTAAGATTGAACCACTCTGGACATTTAAGCCTTTGAATGTGCTTATGATCTTTCCCACTTTTTCTTGTACCAGGATATCTGTTTGTGTCACGGCATATATTTCCTTGGTTTTATGTCCACGTGACTATCAAACTGGGCTATTCAGAAATATGAGTGAAAAGGATTAGATATTTTATCTGCTTTGCAAATCTGATCATGACCAAAGTACAATCAGTGGGAATACTCAAAGTTTGTTCCTGCCAATAAGTAGTACATCCAGATATATGCAAGCTGGTGATGCTAGAGGTTATAGTAATAGAAATGCCCATTGGTGAATCTTTGATAATCCTGTGCTTGTTTCAGTCATTGTGTTTTTCCATTTCCTTAGTTATTCTCTTCTAGTCATTCGTCTACGCATTGCTTTAAAGATGCTAAAAAGATCTGGTGTCATCCAGGAACCAGATTACTCATATTTATGGAATTTCATATAATCAGTGCCATAGGACTATGGTAACTGCCTATGGCAATGTTCTTGCCATAAATTCATTATTCAGAGAATGCTCTGCATTTTCAGGGAGTGCTATGGATATTGTAGAGGGACTGTACACCATAGGGCATTGCTGAAGAATGGAAATGTGTTCAAGTATCAAGTTTAAGGAAAGAACAGCAACAAAAAAATAAAACCCTTCATCTAAGCTTCCTTCCCTTGGGAAAAGGTGGGGGCAAAATGGAGAGAGCTTATTATAGAATCCTTTAGCAGCCAGAAATTTCATTGACAATTTTGTTAATGTGCCTGCTCATCTGCCTTCTCAGAGGCTCATTGTGAATTCCGTAGTTGATATTATTAATGGTTAATGGGTGCACCTGAAAATCAAGCAATATTGTACCATTTGGGTAATAGTTATGTTAAATGGTTCTTTTCTACAGCATCAAGCTTATCAGATTATCTTTTTCCTAATAATGAATACCTCATCTTTTCCAATTTCCTAATCAAATGCTTCCATGTCATCTTGAAGCAGAGCCAGTTCCAGCTGCATCTATTCTATACTCTTGGCTTCAATTATATCAAATTATTCAACCTACTTATGGTTCCTTAGATTCCCATTTGCTCTGAGACATAGACCTCATGCACCTCTTTGGAAGCTCATGATTACCAACTATTCAAAACAGGTCTATTGTAAGTAAACAGTGAATCAAAGAGAGCCCTAGGCTAAATTTACAGTTATGAGAAAATGTCTACAATAAGTTTCTTCCTAAATTTTGGTGCTCTTGGGTGATCTTAGGTGTTCTCTTTACCCTGTCCCTGCTCCCTAAAACACACATGTATCTCATTCTGCATGGCATTGCTTCAGAGTTGAGGATGTCCGTGGCAGTGGCAAAAAGTAAGTGCAGTCATGTTTTGACTATAAATAACAAGCATTTAATTTTTCATAGGTAATATATAGTTTGGATTGATCAGAAGCATGAGGTTTCCCATACATTACCATGTTTTATTTTATTCAACCAGGTACCTGTAGCTAAAAGAGGACAGTACAAGAAATGGTGAACAGCCTTGGGGAAACCTGATATTGTCATTTTCTGTTATATTGGCTGCTGAAACTTTATTGTATCTTATGCCTCTAGTCAGATTAAATGATTCATCATTCTGGACTCATCTTTTAATAATGATTTACAATTATAATAACTTACAATTCTTATCTTTATACTTCATGGCTTGATCTGCATATCTCTATCTCCTTCATTTCTAGGTTCTTTTGATCATTGTTTCAGTATTCTGAACTTTAAAAAGATCCATTTTCTCTGCTGAGAAAAAGAGAGTTCGGACTCACCACTGACCACCTAGGATGATTCAGGCTACACTTCATTCTCCTAGTAACATGTTCAGTTGCCCTTTGGGGCCGGAGGCCATGCTTTATACTCTTAAATCTCTATTGCCCAGCACAGTGTATGGAATGGGCACAGTACATGGTTTCTAAGTGAATGAATGAACCTGAATACCTAATTTCACAATTTATGATTGATTTACTTCTTTAATCCAAAATTATATTCTACCTGGAACTATATCATTTCAAACTTCTATCAGATATTCTTAATACCAAGTACAGTGCAGTGTGCAGTGCAGACCTTCTCAATAAATGTTTAGTGAGAGCAAAACATATATATTTTGGAGACTTATCATGGAGAAGCCAAAATTTGGCCACACAGCATTTCAAAATCCATGCTGGTTCCAATTAGTCAAGGAATGAATTTTCACCCCCCAAATTAACCATTGGTTCAATAGATTGGTTAGTGTGATTACTCTCCACTGGACCTCCTATGGTTGGAATGCCTTATGAGATTCCAGAGATGGAAAAATCTTTGGAAAGTCATCTATGTTTCTTGAAATATTTAAATGGAAACCTTCCCCTTCAGAGTGTTACTGTTCAATGGATATCCACAATTCATGCAAACATCTATCGAGCAACTTGAATGTGACATGAATTGGGGATAAATGTAAAACTGGCAATTTTTCAAATTACTTATAATTTCATAGCCAAGGATAGAAATAAAGCAGCATATAGTAAGATAAATTTTACAGTAGAAGCAGATATAAGGAGCAGAGAGTGGGGAGTAATTAATTCCACATAAAGTATTAGGGAAGACACCCTGAAAGAAATGACTCTGAGTTAGATTTCAACTATGACAGCAGTTTTTGTCTTTTGGATAACTATCATGAGTGAAAAATGCCTGATTGTGCTTGATGTATTCGTTTATAAGGCAGTGTCATATTTTAGGTAATAAACTTTTAAAAGGCAAAGATCTGAAAGACATTTAACTCCTCAGTGCAGCACCGGAATCTGCCACTGTATTCTTTGTTGTGTGATATCTGAGAAACAGAGCTGAATCAAACCCTACTATATTAATGGGTTTATATATGTACACATAAGGCTAATATATTTTATGCTGCCAATTTTTTATGGTTTCATAAATAGTGCTATCACTAACATTTCTAAAAAATGAAGAAAAGAGCTCATATGTGCTAGTAGAAATTCAGTATATTTTATAGAACACTGCTACTCTTGATATAGCCTACGGGATGTGACTTTTCATAAAAACCTAATGAATTTCTAGGTTTGTCAGCTGTTTCCAAACAGATGCACTCAGCTAATCTAATGGAAACATTTTGAGCCCAGATCCCAGATATCAATAGCTTTTAGTATTGCAAATTAGTTTGTCTATTGGGTAAATTGGGCTGTGTGGTTCTTGATAAAAAGTAGCAAGTAATTTTATATGGATGTTTTATGTGTAACTGCCTTGCCAGGGTTTGATGCTCATGTTTTTCCTTGCAGAGTTTTAAGTTGAATGTAGACAGTCATTGTGCTCTCAAGGAAGCTGTGGAGGAGGAAGGACACCAACTTCTTGAGCTTATTGCATCTCACAAAGCAGGTAAATCCTCCTGAAATATTGCAAGTCTTTATGTCTCCAGACTATTAAGAATGAAGAAGCATTGCTGTAAATTACTGCATATATTCACTTCCTTATGTATTATTAATATTTACATTATCAGATTGACCTTCAGGATTTATAAATGTTTCATATACTGCATACAATGCTGTGATACTTATAAGATGAAATACTGCCTCCAAATGGTCTGTTCATTTTATTTTGGGCTTGCTCTTCGCCTGAGTTTCAGTTGAAATTACATTCTTGAAAACTTCACATTGACATGCTTTTTGATGTAGGTGCTCTGGAAATAACATTAAGATAATGAATGAGAACTGTATATATAGTTATAATGCATACGCATTAGGGTACTTATAGATATCATTACAGATATAAGGCAAGCAGTCTAAATTATTTCCCTGCCACTTCACACACATGAACATCTTGCAGAGTTTTTGGCCTTCAACCAATTCTTACCCCAGTATTAATATATTTATAAGGAACAGATAATAAATAAAAAATAATTTTGTCATTTGGTTATACTTATCCTGATAATAGAAGACCATAAGACAGGATGGATGACTTACAGTTTGGCTCTAGGTTTGAGCTTAGCAAAGCTAAACAGGAAAAAGATAGTATTAATTGGATTTGCTAATGTTAAAGACTGCTGTCTTAATTCTGGCCTATTTACTGTATTTCTCATTGAATTGACTTTACCTAGTTCCGTAGATATTTTTTATCATTATGAAGTCTCTACATAGATACACACAGAGCGTTTTATTTGGAATGTGAAACTGTAATGTTACTGATTTTTATACATTGTGATTTTTGTTCCTCATGTATTTTTTTAAGTCAATATACTGAGTAAGTCAATTTCCAAGCCAGAGATTTATGTGGTTATCACATTTTTGTGTCCTTATACCTCCTGTCAAGAATTACCTGTTTCTATTCTGAGTGACAAATGTTGATATGGCAGGTGATGGTAATGGTCACTTAAAAATATTTATATAGTTTAAAATAGCCATCTTATTTACTAAATAAAAATAATGAGCAAAGATTCATTCAGGCCCACAACTTCTGCTTTCCCCTCCTTTTGGAGAAGGACTGAAGGACATGCTGCGGATGATTGCAAGTCAATGGAAGGAGCTGCAGAGGCAAATCAAACGGCAGCACAGCTGGATTCTCAGGGCTCTGGATACCATCAAAGCCGAGATACTGGCTACTGATGTGTCTGTGGAGGATGAGGAAGGGACTGGAAGCCCCAAGGTAAGTGGCTTGAAGTTTTCCTTATTTCCTCTCATTTCTGTCTTCTTTTGAACTAGGCACCACTGAAGTTTTCTTTCCAACCCTAAGGCTTTTTGTTTCTACTGGGTAAACTTTATATATCTCTCTCTATATATAAACAAAATGAAATGGCTTAGTTTAAAACAATAAAGCCTTCAACTTCCAAGTTTCCCAGGAAGAGATCTTTTTCTGAAAACTGGCAGAGAAGGAGGGGGACAGTACTTTAGGGGTGAGAGAAAGGGAGACATAAAACATTTAGTAAACAAAACATAAAGCATCTTTAACATGAATAATCAGAATGGTTTTAAATTGTTTTGTTGCAACTATAAATCACTATAATCAGTGCAATCACTCAGCTCTGACATCCATTAGCCGCTTGGTTACAGCAAATTAACAAAGAAGAGAGAAAGTGATTCATTATCTCATTCCTGTTAATGACTATCAGATGCATTGCCTAATTAGGGGATGGTCATTGTAGTGGGAAGAAGGTCATATGCTTTGCTACAAATCTTTTTGCTCCGAGTGTAAGTTCTCCATAATGGTACATGCACCGAATACAACAAGTACTTTAAAAATGAGTATTGACGTGTTTTGGTTGTTCATTTTAGATGTCCAAAATAACCCATAAAACATATGCAATTGAACTTTAAATGAGGCACCTCTTAATATAGACTGGCACTGTTCTAAAGGTATCTTTGGACTCATAATGTGGAAAATAATGTTATTAATTTGATATTTTCATGTAATCACTCCTTTCTTTTGCATCTGTGAAAACCAGCCTCATAATAAATCCAGAATAAAACGTATTGTAACATGGGGGAAACAGATTTAAGAGTTCATGGTTTTCATTCCTGGCTTGGACAAAGTAAGTAAATCATCATCAAATCACATTTATTCAGCATCCATGTAGATTGGCATTGTACTAAATGTATACAGAGCAAGTTAAAACACACTTTGCCCTCTTAGACTCACATTTTTAAATGCAGGCAGAGGAGAAACCCATCCAGCCCTGCAATGTTGAGACCCGTGCAGCCAGTGAAAAGCTCAGACAATTTACGGCTTTTGAATCTCAAACAACGCCTTTAACTTATTTGTTGGAAACAGAGGATAGAATGATGAGCTCAGTTTCACTTAAAGAAGGCTCCATGAAGAAGGTCACATTTCAGGAAATATTTAAAGGAAGGAGGAGAGGTGACTTGGCACATGAGCACATATTTTAGGAAGTGATGTGATGAAAGGATCAAAGCTGGAACTAATAATATGGAATGGAGAGTATATTTGGCAGATTTCTCCGGGCAGACTTGGAGCTATTTTAAGGAGTAGGCTGTAGGGAGAAGTTCACTGGGCTAATGCTTTGGCTGTGTGTGGAAGTGGGGAGAGGAAAGATGAAGAGAAATGACACAGTTAAAAACTTGTTGTAGGAGGCTGAGGCAGGAGGATCACATGAGATCAGGAGTTTGAGACCAGCCTGAGTAACATAGCAAGACTTTATCTCTGCAAAAAGTAAAAGATGAGCCAGGCATGGTGGCATGCACCTACAGTCCTAGTTACTCAGGAGGCTGAGGCAGGAGGATTGCTTGAGCCCAGGAGTTGAAGGCTGCAGGGAGCTAGGATCACACCACTGCACTCCAACCTGGGCAACAGAGAGAGACCCTGTCTCTAAAAAACAAGTCAAAAATCTTCATTTTAGCTGGGTGTGGTGACATGCGCCTATAATCTAAGCTACTCAGGAGGCTGAGTTGGGAAAATCACTTTAAAAAATCTTCATTGTATTTTGTTTATTTAACAAGAATACAGTGAGTGCCTACTTTTTAAAAGCTATCCTGTATTGGCTACATTTTACATGCCATATGCTATTCTATAGCATTTCTGTATTATGTCATTTAATTATCATGACAAATTTTTAAAGTGGCTCTATTTTAATCCCCGATGGAGAAAAGGGGGTGCAAAGAGAGGTTAGGTAACTTCCTTAAGGTCACACAGCTGCTGAGTAGCAGAGCTATGAGCCCTTTGATCGCAGAGCCCATGTTCATCACCACTTAGCTTACTGCCTTTCACTGGCACTGCTCGGGGCCAAGTGTGGGACGAGGCATTAGAGATGAACAATTGGCTTCAGTGCCTGTCTCATGAAGCTTGTGGTGAGGTGTAGGAAACAGACTTTAATAACCCATGCCTTTACAGATTGTGATGTGCTATGAAAGAAAAGAAAAGAGGCACAAGAGGTTGGGCCAGCAGAAGTGATTTAGATTAGGGCATCAGGGAGCCAACAGGCCAGTGTGGTTAGAAAGAGAAGTGTGCAAGGGAAGCTGGGTTCCCTGTTGTTGTACAAGGGGAGGCTTTTGGAGTAAAAAGAGAAATGACATCATTGCATTGCGCTATAAAAACCTCTTACTGGCTATGGTATGGGATATGAGTGGGTAGGGTAGGGTGAGTCGGGGTAGGGTGGGAGCATGCCAAAGTGGACTACAGAGACAGCACAATGACCTAAATTAATGAAAGAGCTATGTTGGAAATGAGTACATTCACCAGCGCCAGTTTGAAATGGACGCTTTGAAATCAGCTTATTGTTTAAGGAGGCATTGAGATAGAATGAAGTTGATAACCCAGTGAGAAGGAGAAAGTGTTATCAAAGAGAAGCCTTGTTAGCGTTTCTCAAAAAGAGGACCTACCTACCCAGGCTCTTCCTCAGACCATACCAGAACCTCATGGGTGGGGCCCTGGAATCTGCATTCCAATAAGCTCTTGGAGAACCTCTATAATAGGCACTAGGAAGACCCTTTTCCTGCAGGGACTACATGATCCTCACCCAAAATGAATAAGAGAATGTCTGTTGCATTGTTACTTATAGTAGCAAACAATTGGCATCAACTGAAATGTTTAAAATAAGAATGGTTTGATTAAATTATGCTAAATTTCATTCTAATGAAATGTTATGGTTATATAACCATAAAAATCATGTTTTAGAAGAGAATTGGAAATATTGGAGGATACCTATGATATACAATTATATATTTTTGAATGTCTTTAAATTTTCCAAACCTCTCAATGAGCAAGAATTATTATAAATAAAAAATAAGAATACATTTAAAAGTATAAGAATTAAAAAGTGATAAGAGGTAAAATAGGTGACATTGAGCTGAGGGACTTGAGATATGAATTTAAATATCAAGAAGAAAAAGATACATCCGGTTCTTAATGATTAAGGTGCCTTACTTCTTAAGAGAAAACCAAGCAAAAACCCTCCACTTACATTATTCCAAAGGCGAAAATACCTTGAATCACATCAGTTTACCAAGAATAACATTCATGTTTTCCTTTTTAATAGTATTTCTATTCCAGAGCATTTTCATGTCACATTATATGCACAGCATAGTGCATCTAAAAGCAGCTACAAGGAGAGGCTTTTGTAGGTATGTGCAGATGCAGAAGTTGAGGGAGGCTCTGAGAGTTTGAGATCTTGACATGATTGAGTCAGCAAAACCCCAGGCCTCTACCTCCCAACTAGTTCTCTCTCCACAATCTTGGCTGAATTTTTTCTGGAAAAATGAACTCATCCATACTCAAGGATGAATTTGAAATCAATTTAACACAAAATATATTTCTTAATTTAAGCTTAAGAAACTATGAAAAAATCAGAATGTTCATGCTTTCTATTTATTTAATATTTAGGAACTGCTTCTTTTACTCCCTTGGGCAAACACATATAATAATAATAGAAAGGCTCAGATTCTGAAACCAGACTGCTTGAGTTCAGTGATTGGCACTTACTAGCTGTGTATTCCTGGGAAAATTATTTAACTTCCCCGTGCCTCCGTTTTCTCATTATAAAATAGAGGTAAGATAATATCCACCTCAAAGGGTTGTGATACAGATTTAAAAGAGCTGACACACCTGAAGTGCTTAGAACAGTGCCTGGCACGCAGTAAATTCTAAGTAGGAGTAAACACACAAGACTTCATTTTCTTATTTTATTTTATTTAGAGTTTTGGGTACATGTGCAGGATGTGCAAGTTTGTTACATAGGTAAACATGTGCCATAGTGATTTGCTGCACCTATGAACCCATCACCTAGGTATTAAGCCCAGCTTGCATTAGCTTTTTTTCCTGATGCTCTCCCTCCACCTGTCCCCTCGCTGACAGGCCCCAGTGTGTGGTGTTTCCCTCCCTGGATCTGTGTGTTCACATTGTTCAGCTCCCACTTATAAGTAAGAACATGTGGTGTTTGGTTTTCTGTTCCCATGTTAGCTTGCTGAGGATAGTGGACAAGCCTTCATTTTCTAGAGATGAATAAATATAATAAATAATAAGTTATAAATAATAAACAGATATTAAATGGATCTGATAAATACTCTGATACAGATAGGAGCAAAGTGCTATAAATACACTGAGAAGGAAATAACTAAACCTACCTTGGGCTATTAAAGAACAATTTACAGGGAGGCATTCATGTTTTAAATGAAAGGTAGACAGGATTTTTGCCAAGGTAAAAATAATGGGCAGCGAGAATAGCACATACCAAGATAGAGAGGTGTGAAAACTGTGGTGTGGCTAGAACCTGGGCCCTTGTTGCAGATGATGAATAGGCCAGCCTGCCACAGTCTGCACCAAGACACAACAATGTGACAAAAAACGATCCTTAATGATCAGTGATTTGATAATAATTCCTCCTATGTCTCTATTAATATAATCCAAGCCAGAGTGAGGTCTCTATACAGAATAAACCTAAACATACTGTTTAAGCCGAAATTTTTATTGTTATATTGCAATAAATAGAGCAAGCTTAAATAGGTTACCCTGAAGTTCTCCATGACTAAAAGCTGAATTTGGCTTCTTAGCCATTATGTCAGCCCTCTTTCCATGACGTGACCTTGCACAGGTCATGTACAAATTGTGCCGTGAAATGCATCTCCAAGCACAGCAGTTATGATCATCTATTTCATCTTGGACCTAAAGAGGAACTAAAATTAAAACATGATAAAAAA